TTAGAACAATTTGCGTTAATCAATTTTAAAAACTCAATCATAACAAGAGCATTGCTAACTCTAAAAAAACAACATTAACTGTAACCATAGAGATAGGTTGGTAGAAGAATGTAAGTCACTAAAATATTTTCGAAGGGTGCTGCTAATAATAATATACGTAGAGCGTCATCCCCACTATAATATTGTCGATCAAATTAAAATAAATGTAGGTAGGCTTACAATGTATTAATACCCACTTACGCCCGAGGGAAATTAATTTCCTTCAATTTCTTATTCAGCTTGTTCCGTTTCATTATTTCTCTGTTGTCGTAATCCTTTTTGTAGAACCCTAATAAGTAAATTAAGCACAGCAGTAAAGTGGCGCTATCTGGAAGAATTCAAGCACCTTTAAGGGTCTTAAAGAAGTCTAATCAGAGTTTTATTCAAGTTCATTAGGAGCTAATATCTCTTATTTACTACTTGTCAGTAAATTCAAATAAGATATAAACGTACCGCTTGGAACATCATTCTTAATTTATCTCCGCTGTGCTTACTTCAGGGAAGGTGTAAACGAACGTATATTAGGAAAGCTTCATAGGGTGTTAATTTTCCTTACACCACCATGAAGAAGGAAAGAAGTACCACAAAATTAATTCCAACGAGTGAATATTGCTTTATTTCCAATTAAGATCCAAATCTTAACCGTCGTTTATAGAATAAGGAGCTTGTGTATTAATTTAATCAATACATTTCCTCTCGAAACGGAATCTGTAATGAATGACGTCAAATTAAGCTCTAAGCTTAACAGAAAACATTGGTGGAACCTTAATTCGCGATTAAGGCAAACATAGTATGCGGGGTGAGTGGTGGTGTGGAGACGAAGGCGGTGCATGCGCGGAGCGGGGACGGGCGCGGCGTCGCACTCTGTGCCCGCGGAGCCCCGGTGCGCCTCGGTTTCCGGCGGGAGCTCTCGCCAAGTGTCCTGCCGCGGCGTGCTGCCCACGTGGTCCGCTCACCTACTGGCGACACCCCGCTTTTTTACTCGAACTCCATTGATAAAACCGTAATTACGGACCGGCGATTAATGTAAACAACCTTTTTAGAGTGCACTTTTTAATTGACGGCAGCGCGTTTATAATTATTTGTCTTTGATTGTTTTAGTGCTTTTAAGTTGGAAGTTCCTTAACTATTATAATTTTTTTAGTTTCTTCTTTTGTAATCTATCGTTGTATTATCAAACTCATTTTCACAAACTTTCGTAAATTCTTGGAGTTGAAACTCACGTTTTCATCCCCAAATAACAAGGAAATATGAAGGAAAATTATTTGTTTTGATACTTAAACTTCCTTCAACCTTAAGATAATTTTGATCCGCGCTCATATTTCACAACATTTTGATGTCTTACACTACGGCATATAACATAGACGTTTCATTCGGTAGGTATTGACGAAGAAGAAAATCTGAAAAGCTGGTAAATGAACTCTCCTATTTTGGAAACAGTGCACGAATACATCAATGCATCAGAATGGAATCGGTTCAAATGCCATCGGAGGACCAGGAAAGGGCCTACAAGTTATATAATATGTACAAGGTAAGTCCGCACCAATATTATTATGTAATCTTTTTTTCCGTTGACATTTAATTCATAAACATTTCATTCATTACCTTAAATATTTTTCGCCTTACATTTATCACACTTTTTTATCATCATACTTTACTTGTTCAATATTATTCTTGGAAAATGTACATATTAATTTAAAAGTAACGTCTCGGGTGATCGGACGGCGAAACGATATAATCCTTCACGGAGAGTGCCAAACACTGTCGCCTCTAACGAACTTATCATAAAGACTATTAAAATGTATTTACAAAAAAAAAGTAAGTGGGTATAGTTTTTTTACATATTATAGTAAGTGTATTTACATATTATATCGATTGTCCCATATTGACCCATATTTATTTACAAACTGCTTAGTTTGGGACTAGAGGCGCAATGTAAGATATCCAAAGATATTTATTTATTTCGTGTAAAACGTTTGTTTATTCTCCATTATAAATTAGTTTGTAGAAACACCGAACAGGATATCGCTGGCTTTGAAAACTGCCTGTAACTATCTGAAACATACACAGAAAACTAAAATAGTTACCTTGATACGCAAATAAAATACATAACATACTATCTTTTAACGGCACCGTATATTCAAATTGGCCAATCAATCAATCCAACTCATGCTGATAGATGCCGCGATGGAAGAAAACATATTATAACATATTTTCCAGGAAAATCCTCCCATTTTCTTATTTTATTTTGCTAGTCATAACTTCATCAACCAGGAATTATTTTAGCACGTTACTTGTATAGCAAATAAAAGGAATGAGTAAAAAGAAAGAAAGAAAATGTTTATTTGGTCCAAAACAATTATTACAATTTTACAGTTCAAAGTATTTGTAAGTACATGTTTGAACCAAAATGGCATGCGCTTTTCAAAAACATTTCACTTTTGCTTCTAGGAAAAAATATTGTATCAAACTTAAGTCAATGTAATCTGATTGAAGTGTTCAAGTATCTTATTGTTTGATTTAACTTCCTCAAAGATAGTTTTTAAGTACGTTTTTAGGTACCTCTAATTTAATTCTAAGATAGCAAGTCATACTAAAGTTTTCCGACCCGTATTTTAAAAAACCTATCTTAGGATTGTTTTTCATAGCACGTACTTTTCCGTTCTGAAAATTTGAATTTTCAATTTTTATAATAGCAATAGAAGGTTCAATCGAGTACGACGCAACAGAAACTTACATTTGCGAATCCAACTCACACTTGACTGGTTTTTGGATTTGTACGATGTTTGTGTTAAACGTTTATAAGTTGAAGTTGATTGTTATGAGGTGTTTGTACAGCGATTTGTGGCCTGTAACAACAAACGTCAGGGCAAGCTCACCCTCGTCAATGTCGGACGGAACTTATATTTAAATCTGCCAATAAACAACTGATGTTCTCTTTTAATTTGTTTAAAAATAGACAGACAGACAGTATTTACTTTAATATAATTAACATAAGAATTCTTAAGCTTTGTAAATTTATTGTTGCATATAGAGTTGGGTATTTTCAGTTCCTTTTCAGTAACGACAAAAGAAGTTTTCACAAACTTTATTTACCTAGGCCTAGGCTAGAGCTCGTTAATTATAAATTTTAAAGTCCTGAAACAAACCAGCCCCTATTCTCTAACTTCAACATTGGAGGAGGCCTAAAATATATCATAATTCCTTTGAAATTACGCTCCTAATTAACGGCAGCTGTAAAAGATGTTTTTATTTATGAAAGAACTCGCAAAGTTTAAGTATTTTAATCTTAATCTGTACTAACTTAGGCTTACTTAAGTTTTGCTGCGTGGATAATATTAGTCCTTTTTTTTTAAATAAAGAGCTCTAACTTGGCTTAGGGCTGATTTTTCAATCCTCAGATATCTTTTATCTGAAGAATAACCTTGTCATTTTGACATATTTCCCATACTGAAACTGTCAATGTGCCAAACTTATTCTCCAGTTAAAAGTTATCTGACGATTGAAAAATCAGCCCTTAAAATAAAGTATTAAAGGTATTTTTTTCCTTTACGGCTAAAGTTCTTTGATAGTATTTTTTAAACGAAACAACAATTTTTGTTTAAAAATTGTATTCTGTTATGACAGCAAACAATCCGTTGCCATGACAATTACAGCTCTGAAACTATGCTAGATAAAAAATCGTAGTTGGTGAAAACAGGAACTCTAAAAATCACCCAGGCACCGTTTATTTTTTCTCCCAGACTTTGAGTCTACACGTTGTACACTGTCTGTACTAATAAAGAATATGAAATTGATTCGGTCTGTCCGCTATGTAAACTAAAGCGCTGTACACACCGTAGATCGACGGTTTTACATCGATGCAACGTTGTCTGAGTCGGCACGAGACAGCATCTATGTATACGCAGCGCTATCTAGCGATGGGCGAGGGTGGTGAAACGCAGTTGTATTTTCAACATATCGATCTAACAAAACGTTTTTCAAACATTTAATAATATAAAAAAAAAACTTTATTTAACACTTGTTTTATCAAAAGCAAAAGCTCTTAAGAAAATAATTTTATAAGAAATCTTAAAAATAATTAACTTCAATACACATAAATAACATGTAATATTATTCAACAAATATAATTTTAGACGCACTATAAAAAAAAAACAAAAAATGTTCGTAATCTAAGTAGGTACCTACTCGTAATTACACAGAATAAAAATTAAGTAGAATATTCTTCAAAAATATTTGTTTATGGGCGTGGAATGTAGCTTCGTGGGTAGTTTGAAATTTGGAGTCTCATGCGCAGTAGAGTCTGATGCTTCAGAACCAGTTGCAAGGGCTAACGGACTCTACATTTGTCTTCATTAAATGTTTTAAAGCTTTTAAACAGTTCAAGATTTTTAAACAAAATAAAAAGTAATTGACAATCAAAATGAAAATAGTATAGTAGCCTAATTTGTTTTATTTTTCTAGCATTTAAAAACATTGAAAAACAGAAGGTTTTTAATTGTTTTTGCACCATAATAACCTGCACATTAAAGTAACTACAAAATATCATGCACCGTTTAATTAGTAGGGTAGGAAAAATACACATTCGGGTATCTACCCTCATTCTGCGAGCTCTTATGGCTTACAATAATTATTATTGTCCCCAGTGGCAAAAGTGGCTAATGCCTCGTAGAAAACAACTAATACCGCGCCAAGCAAGAGGTCTTGTAATGAAAATATGATTATGATGTAGTAGGAGTACACGTAGAGCATAATGTGCTAACATAAGATAAGCAATGCCGAATATTGCGGCAGTTATCATTTGAATTTGGCTGCACCAACGGTCGCAGGACTAGTCAGCAGACCAAAAAGCAATGTTAACAACAGCAGCGCCATCGGCATCGCGCGGTGGTTGGCGGCACTAGCGCCGGGCGGCGCGGCCCCCCGAGCGAGGCGCGAACAGCGACCGCCACGCAGTCTTCCCGCGCGGTCCGCACGTGCGTCTAGCGTGCCTTCACATCGCCCCACAGTTTCCGAACGAACCTCAAATTCCACAAAAGTGCAAATACAAAACATTCACTGAAACTCACTGTGATCAAAGTTTGTGAACGACGACCAGGATACGACGTTGCGTCACGTCGTACTGTGTAATGACTCCAGTGCTCTATCAATTAAAGTTGTAATTGTATAATTTTTCTTCCTCTATAGATTAATTAGATCTTACATAGAACCGGAAGGTATTAAATTAATGAATGGAATTAATTAAAACCACTACGTTTCGTTAAATGGAATACATATATGGCAGTTAACTGAATACATAAATGGTATGTATAAAACTTTCTATGATTATCTTGCATTGTTTAAATTGTTTACGTAGTTATTTTCAAAGAGTTATAAAACTTTATCAATGTAGCAATAAACATGATTTATTTTAATGTAAATAAACTGGACAAATATAATTTTTAACGAGTGAAACGACTCCATATCTCCAAAGTAAGTTACGTAGTAGCTCTACTAAGTAACAGTTGTGAAATGTTTTTTATGGATTTAATTTCTGTAATGTACCAAGAAAATGTATAAGATAAATAAAAAAATAACAAAGCAGTGTTTTTCAACACTTCTTTAAAAAAATATTACATTTTACGCTTTAAGCATTTAAAAGTGTGTTAAGTCGCGTTTAGAGACAATAATTACATTTTATTATGTAGAAAATATAACTCGTCGACATGCATCATTTACTCGGGTGTATATTTATTTAAATGACGACAAACATCACTATCTACGACCAACTGAAACATGCCTCGATAGAGCGATAAGATATGCCACAGTTAATTATTTATTAGTTGCCTACTTTGTAAATGTTTCTTTCAAGAATTCAAGTAATTCTTATGTTACCAATAAAGAAAAAATATTTTGCAGCTACTTTAACAAATTAATATCTACCGACTGTCATGTTTCATATGTATGTATTAGCTTAAAGTAAATCAATATTTTAAATTAAGTACGACTCTTTTAGCGAACGTATTTTAAAACGATAAAAATATTATTTCTAAGATTCCTTGTTAATTAATGATCAGATTTGGCTGTATTAATTAAAAGATGATCATAGATCATAGATCACTTTTAAGATGAAAATAGCTTCAAATACGTGTATTAAATATTTACATACACCGTGATCAAAGATAATATACCGGCTCTACCACGGTTATAAAAATAAATGTAACAGACTTGTATTTTAAAAAGTGCTTGCCCTAAAAATAGGGCAAGTGAGTCGCGGCATGAAACCTTACGAAAGGTTTATGGACATATCGCATAACGGCAGTTTAATACTGACTACGACTATTACAATAAAATTTTAACGGCATACCCAATTCAAATATTAGGCAACAAAAAACCAACATATCCCCCAATAATTTATTCAACCCTTGTTTCAATAATTAAGTAAAAGTAAAATCGTGTCAAGCATTTACGTTTTAAATCTACAAAACGACACATCCCCAAGTAAAAAGGTTATCTGTTTTGGCTCGAAACAAATCTAAAAGCTCAATAAAAACTCTACCTCTTCAAACAATGCGTCTGTACCGGTTTTTTGGAGCAAAAAAATGAATCCACCTGCTTTCTTATTTTTATTTGTTTGTCTCCCCTATAGGACGAAAGCAAGCTACGATCAGAGATGCGTTCCAATTGTAATAACATCAATTGATTTAACGCTATTTTAGTGGGAGGAATAAAACGAGGTCACCGACCGGCAATTATGTCCTCCTAGAGACTACTCCGTAGCTACATTACATTATAATGGTATTATGCTTTCTTGAATTCAACATGCGATATAAATCAAGAAATGGTAATGTTTTCGTTTTGCATAGTTCTCTTTGATGTAAATGTTATTCTATACTAATTTAAATTATCTGCATTCTTTGTCCAACCCAATAAAAGAATGAAACAACGTTTTAGAATAATACGTCAAGCAGTTCATTTTCGAACTGTATTAAACTTACCTACTTTACGAAACTTTCTACTTTCCACGCTCTAAAAACATATTAGAAACATCGTATCGTTATGGATGCCACATTATAATCGACAATTACTGAGATTTATCGGTTAGAAAAATTATCATTCCATTTTGTTTGTTCGTTTAGTTGTTTTAAGTCTAATTAGGCTTGTTTAAGAAGAATAGACAATTATGAGTTAAAATGTAGAGTGCTTGAAGGATATTTAATTACGAGCGTTCGATGTTTTAAGTAGTGTATCAATATTTATGAATGCTAGCATATTACAAAATCCAATAGCTCGAAAGCAATTATCAGGGTGTCCTTTCACTTGGTGCTGGTGTGTGTGCTGTATAAGCCCATTTGGGCCCGCAGCCGGTGCGTGGAACCGGTCCGTGGAATGAGACCGACTTGTGCTCAAGGTACTATACAATGTTGATCAATCGGATTTTAGACGATTAAAACGGTTCTCACATTCAATTCAATAAACGTTTGGTTGTTATACTTTATTGGTCTATTGGATTTGGTTGTTGGATTTAATAGAATATGCAGTATCAATATACAAAGTAGGTAAGTAGAATTCACACATTTGGGCAAATTCAAAACTCTGATTAGATGATAATGTAGAGCCAGAAATTGTTTGAGTTTTATCGAGTTGCCGTTCTTTGTTATTTTTTACTCCTGAAGTCAATAAATTATAAAATCGTCTGTCCATTAAACGGCTGATCTATCAACGCACACCCAAAAAAAATCTTAATAGCTTTTTTTGTAACCTAACCAGCTAAGTTCGAACAAGCGGGGCGTTTCAAAGTATCCATCAGCTTATTATTAAGACTACTAAAATTAGGTATTACGATTTATAACTGAAGAGACACTTATTTTTGGAAATAAATGCCTATTACAATCACATTTTATTAAAATAACTCTACACGTGCAACGCTGCAGGCAACCGCTAAGTCACCATAACATAACATAACTTATACCAAATACATACACTTACTGACACAACACAATGTTAATAAACAAGTACATTCTAACGAAAATAGGTACTCTAAATAACAATATACATATTCACTATTAAGAGATTTTCCTCTGAATACGTAATAAAATATACAGGTGTAGTAAACACCCCGAGCGCAATTCTGTGGAAGTTCTCTCTCAATGCTACGTTTACTTTAAGCACGAGTTCTCAGAACATAAGCCAAGTGTTTATGAAACTTCTAAGAACAAAAAATAAGAAAGGATGTTTTATAACACCTTCATAAAAGAATTTCTCGGAGAAATAACTTTACGGGCATTTATATCTTATGGACAGCAAACTATTTTTGATGCCAACGCCTAAAAGAAACATACAGGCTTCACACAATTCTTATTACTTAATGTAATAAATTCTGAAATCTTTCTTTCACGGAACATAAGTACTTATTTTTCTTTTAAATTAGATAGAGATACCTATCTTTTCTGCCTTTTAAGTAGCCTTTAACACAACTTCATACTCTTTGTTTAGACAACAACTAGAAAAACGTATAGGAATGTACAAATATGACTTATGTAAACAATCAAGTGGGCATTTGTGAACGAGTAGTTTATATCTACATAAGGCCATGACCCCAATTAATCTCCTTAATTAAAAGAAAAGTGTCCACATAGGCAAATGTCACACACAATATGAAGAAGCACATTAAAATATGAAGGAAATTATGTTTTCTTTTTTTTTCAAAACGACTGAAAAATACATAGTAGGTATTATCAGGTAGGAAGAAATTTCTTATACTATTATGGGTTCTGAAAAAAAATCGATTTTGATTTGATTTCCCCACGAATAATGTTTAATCATCCTGTATGCTCACGTTCAAAATGCTCTACAAAAATAAATTGTATGGTCGTCGTCTAAAATAGACTAAGCTGTAATAAAATACTAAAAGTGTTGCGTCTGTTGCACAGATCAAATCAAATGCCGTAAGACAGTGTGCCATTTAGGCGCAACGCAATGTTATTCAATATCGCAATCTTAAGAAATGCTGTATTGAGTATTGCTGAACTGATCATGTAAAAACTAACTTTCATCTTAACTTACTTTTGCTTAGTCTGTCAGTACCTACTCATTCAATTTTAAATAAAAGTACTAATCCATGCATGTTTTAGTAATTTTCACGTCACAAGTAAAATATCCATAAACAAAGAAAACTGTTTTAAATGCTGAAAATCTGTTATATTTGAAGCTCTGAATCTCTGCGCTCTACTTACTTAACATTTGAACGCGAAACACTATAATTAATTTCCATTAGTCAAAGCATATTTTACGATATAAATTAATATAATAAAATGTACAACATAAACATTCATTGATGTCCATAAAGATTAACATGAACTCCAATCAGTATATTAAATAATAGTAATTGGCTCGTTACTGTAAGTTTACGATAATACTATAAAATTAAATTTACCTCCAAGCCTAACTTAGAATAATTTGCTCCGAGCCGAGTGAGATGCAATCAACAATTTACTCAAGCGAACGTAGGAAATTTAATATCGTGTAAAAAGTAAAAAGTAATAAAATTGATCCTCTAACTATCATGTCGGGAAGTTAACGAGGTTGTTGTGTACAGTAACCATACTTTATATAGGATTTTTCGTTTGAGTTTAGCCCTTATGTCGAAGGATATTAGACTGCTCAGTATCAGGATACGTTATAGCAACACAATTCGCTGAAATTGTTCCCGCAAATCGAAGCTCAGGGAATCTCGTGACGTCGTGCTGTAATAAAATCAATAGCGAATTAAACTCTTCCCTCGAAGTTGTTATTACTAAACTTAAATCTGTCATCGGAAGTTAGTTATCAACGGGACATGGATTATTGAAAAAAACATTATGTGCCGTGTCCCAAGCCGTCATCTTATTATTTAAATAGTTATTTCAAACAAATTGCCCAACATAATTATATGCTTTGAGAGATGACGGATGGATTTGTAAATTAATTGCCGAAGCTTTTTAAAACTTTTAAACATTCACCAATATTGTATTTTGAATTAAAAACGGCGGCGGAGTGTCTAAAATTCTACCTACTGATAAAATTGGACTAAATAATGTGTAGGTTTATAATATTTTCTAAAAATAAAAACATTATATTTCTATAGAATGTGAGGAAAATTCGGAGAATTTCTAGGAATGAGTGCTATGCTATTTGATTTACAACAACTTCTACTTTCACGACGAATACATTTGCTTTTTATAAAAGTTATTGGCTCTACCTTGACATTGTGAGTAATAAACAAATCGGTATAGGCTTTCTTACGCTGTTTCTAGTTGTATCAGTTAATTACAGTCAAAAAGCGCTAGAATTCTTATTAGAATTGAATTATTTTTGTTACCCATAGTGAGGCACGAAAAAATTGAGGTACTAGTGCGACGCTACACACCGCGCCGAGTGACCGCATTCTTAAACTTATATTATAGGTTCTAATGCTGTTATTAAGGCCGTAATACATCAGGCCCATGTTTTAATTATAATTTTCGTGTCTAATTTTATACCTAATGTTTATTCAATTATTTTTATTGTGTGTTAATTTAACCTAGGCTTTTTGAAATAACATAAGAGCGATAGAAAGTCTTTATTATATATATAATCTTTTCTCTGTATAATCTCTACTACGAAAATATTTACATGATGTTAATTCCACTTAGTAGGTACCTACAACGATTTTCAGGGAGAACTTATTTCAGGGGAATTATAAAGTATATTAGGGTCATTCCACAAAAATATGTCAACTCTTAGTCCGCGCCACATTTCACATGAAATATTTGTTAATATTTTATTCCAAAATTGTTAAATAACAGCTCGCAATGTGCTTTATTCATCACCCATTTATATTTTTTGAAACTATTTTTAAAACATCTTAAATTCCTTTTGAATGACCCAAAACGTCATTCCCTAGGCATGTCCGTACTCCAAAAGTTTGTGTTTTGGGACCCACATTTATAAAAACATCAACTTTATCCTTTGTTTTAATTAACGAATAATCTATTTAAATGTATATTACACCAAATTCTATTAATATTTTGCGGTTTCAATAAACAATAATTTGATTTTCTTTAGTTGAAAAAGAGTCTACAGTTTTTAGCGTCATTCCCTCGCCACGCACTGATTTTATAATTTTGCGCTTTAATATGTATTTAGAGTGAATGACATTTAGTTGAGTTTAAAGTACGATACGAAGTTATCCTCAGACCATACTGGCTTTGCGGTAGCCGTTTTTTGAATTAATGCAAACGTGACAGTTGTTACCGAAACATGTGTTAATCCAGTCACTTCGTCAGTCCCTAGTTGAGTAGCTGTATTGATTATAATAGGAAATTGTATATAATTTAATAGTATTTACGTGTAGTTTTTTGGCTATTTTCGGCACATGGTATTAAGCATTCTTATAATATAAAGTTAATCTGCATTTGTGTTAAGTTTTACTCCAAATCGTCAGTCCCTAGAGCGTCAGGCCCTAACTTTAAATGGCACTTGGGACTAAATTACTAGTTAGGGAATGATGTTTTTTATATAGTGATAATAACAAAACAACTACATTATGTGTATTAACTTATCTATAAATGTTAAGGTTAAAAGTTTTATACTTTATTAGAAGTCATATAGGAGTAATGTAGTATGAAAAAATTGAAAATTATAATTTCTCCTAAAATAAAGCATAAAATGACTGGCCCTTTTAGACATAACATAATTAATTAATAAACAATAATTTACACTAATAAACTATTCAAAAGCATCTTAAAAAAGTTACGGACAAAATGACGTCGAAAATATACAGATTTTTATGGAATGACCCATTAAAATAGGTACACTTTACGTTCCATTACTCTAATCTCTCTAGAACTCTCTCAAATAAAAGGTATTTTTTGTATAAAATATTACCTACTGACGATTGACCTTGCCAACGCGAATAAAGTTTTATCACAGTTATTACACAATATTAAATAATTTTGTTCCATTATATTATAATAATAATCCTTATTTATAACCGTTGCTGTTTTTAACGCTCGATTATAAAGCATGCCTCAAGCAATATTGAAAACTATTTTCTGTAAAGCAAAGCCCAAGAAGGAAGCTTTTAATGTATCTTCAACATTAATCTTATTGTATATTCTTTCAAAATGTAGTGAGATTTTCAAATAATTATTGAAATTTAAAAAAAACTCGTTTTTTATTTAGGTTTCTATCAATCAGTATCTAAGTCATTTAGTTTCCACTGCAGGAACACGACCCTCTCCAATTTACCAGAAGCAAATGGACAAAAGGTTATGTAACTTTATATTAAACATAAAATTTTGTTTGTTTCAGCGACCTGAAAACCTCGAGTCGCCGCTGTCAGCACCACGCGACTCCAAGAATAGCATATACGCTATGAATGATCAGGTTAGCAATATATTATATCTCATATAATTTAATACGAGTTTTATCAACCGCTAAACCTAAAGTCATTGTCATTTCAGTTACATCTATACTTATAATAAATCTGTAGAGAGGTCAATTCTGTACATGAAATATATTTTCAAAATAACTATCAGGGGGTGATTAGTGATCGATACTAATGCCAAAAATGCAATCAGTAAAATTTTTGTCTGTCTTGTATGTTCCTTATAGAAACAAAAACTACTCGACGGATTTTAACGAAACTTGGTACAATTATTCTTCATACTCCTGGGCAGGTTATAGTATACTTAGGAATTCCCACGGGAACGGGAATTAGCGGGAAAATCCTTTTGTATGAAAAATCTAAACCGCTTAAGTTAGACGCTTGAAATTTGGCATGCAGGTATCTTAGTAAACTTAAAGCTTAGTTACAATAGGATATTGCAAAATTCCCACGGAAACGGGAGTTAGCGGGAAAATACATTTGGTAAACTGTTTAGTTACAACAGGATATTGCAAAATTACCACGGGAACCGGAGTTAGCGGGAAAAAACATTTGTATCAAAAAATCTAAACCGCGTAAGATAGATGAATGGGGTAAAACGGGATCCACGCGTACGAAGTCGCAGGCGGCCGCTAGTACGAAATAATCAAAATACAAATGATATAAAAGTTCTCCGGTCCACATACATCATCACGTTGTAGATATGCTTGCCCTTATTATGTACCTACTAGCATACATAGAGGTAGGGATAGTTAAATTCTAGTTCTAATGTAGATTAGGAGTTCACGCTAACAGAAGTTCTTAGGTATGCTAGATTTTTTAAGATTAACATGGAGTTAATCCTTACACATTCTAGTATAAGATTTTGTCATAATTATTACCTACAGGAAAATGATTTCTTTTAATTTAAATAGTATTGAGAAACAGGTCTAATTTATTGATAGCGTTTCAGTAACAAGACAAGAAAAGATTACAGAAATAATAAAACAGAAGACACCAACTTGATTAAATACTACGCAGATTACCCTGAATCGTCCCTTGAAAATAACTTCCACATGTAAATAGACAAAAAGAAATAATTAGCAGTCTATAATACATAGTCATGACGACAATAGAACGAATAACAATGGTACAATTACAGCGAGAGCTTTTTATTGCCATTAACATTGTATAGAAACTTCTTGTGACGGTATTCTCTCATACACTTTCTTATGTATTCAACTTTGTATTAAATAACTAGTAGTTACAATGTTTGTTAAGTACCAATTTGCGAACAAATTAATTACATCCACTAAAACAGAGTAATAAAAAAAACTCAATAAGAAAATTAAACCCGTTTTGAATTCATATTCCTCCTCACAAAACGTCCCAACTCCCAAGTTCGATTCTCAGTTCGATAAACTTTTCTCAATTAACTTGGGTCAGCTAAGTAGGTATCTCAGTTGCTGTCGGAATGGGTAAAAATACGTGTACAAATCACGTAGAATCATCTCTATCGATTTGGTAACTGTTCATCGAATGATTCTGAATGCTAAGTACTCGTGTCTTGGTGTTTTGAGAGGATCCCTCGATAGAAAATTGCTAGTATTAAAATATGCTTTAATATTTAAGGATGAGATGCTGCTGCTTTGTTGTCTAGTCTATCTCTTATAAAGTTCGAAGGGCAACAAAATAAATAAAACACAGTGGCATCTTGTGTGTAGTAGGAGCGAATTTGCAATAAAACTCGACTCTCTGTGCAGGCGACTGTACATAACTCTACCAATAACAAAAGCATACCTACCCAATCTTTATTAGACACTTCCTTATGACGTGGGGCCTTGGGCCTTACGGTACCACAGTTTAGTACTTTAATTGAATCACGTTTTGTGTTATCTTGTTTTAGACTTTTCACACCCCATCATTTGGCGACGAAGAGTTCGATATTCCCCTCATTCACGGACAGCATGCGACTGGTGGCAGCGTGCAGAACTCAGCGCACATTCAGTATACGCAGCTTCACCATACAGCCCCTCAGGTACGCATTCCATTTTCAAATTATGACGGAAAAATAGCTCTACTTTCTTTTGTTTGTTAACAAAGTTCTTTTTTTTACAAGAATAGTAATAGGTATTTAAATAAAATATCCTTTTAATTTTCTTTAAAGACCTCATTAATATTTATTCATTGTCTATAAAATTTCGTACAAAATGAAACGTTTGCGTAGCTAATGCAATAATGGTATTATTGGTAAGTAAACCTCTGAAACCGAACTTCTATCACAGTGGCCCGAAAGTTACACAACAACGTTATTGGTATCTCGGATCCGCCCTACTTTTTAGATTGCTTTTTATTGTAATTGAATGCCTATCAATGGATTCCGTTTAACATCTCAGTTGAGTTACCCCAACTCTTGTCCCAATTTATAAATGGGTGGATAAAATCATACGAAAACTAGATTTTATGCAATTATTTCTGTTACTTTACTTCGACTTTTCGATTAGTATTTTTGACCCATACATTTTTAGTATATAGCTTCTGCTCTTGACATAGCCCACGTGGAGGATTTTCGATTATCTACATTCAGATTCTGATGTATAATGTTTGTATTTTATAACATTGTAAAGTTTCATCAAAATTTATCCAGTAGTTTTTGCGTAAAGGACTAAAAACCATCCATATGTAGTTAAAGCTAAGTTTAAGTAGAAATTAAAGATATCTTTGGAGATTATGATAGGTATGTGCAGAGATAAACTTAGAAAGGAAGCTCCGGGATCAACACATCTACATCAACTCAGACAGCCAAGTGAGCCAAGCAGCATTGCTAGCCTTAAAAGCATTGTATCCTTCGAATACACGTCAAAATTGGTGCAAACATTCACCGAGACACTGAATGCACTGGGAAATACTAACAAAGTAACGCTTACATGGGTACCAGGACATTCGAATATACAGGGTGGAAACGATAAGTGATCTCATTCGATTATTTCTAAACTATACAAGATATCGAAAAACTGGTTACTGATCCTAAAAGTGCTTCACGAGCTCTATCCAAAGGTACCAAAATAGGTTACAGAATTAATTGGATCTATCCGAAAATTAAATGTTTTCAGCCTCCATACTAAATGTAGGGGAACCTGTTGTACTTAGGCCAGTTTTTCGAATTTTGATTTTTTGAAAAATAATGGTGATAGTTAAACTTGTCTAGTGCAGTTATATTTAAAGATCATTTAATTAACTACATAATTCATTCATAAAATTGTGTATAATTTTAAAAATTTGGGCATACTAGCTGCTAGAAAAAAAAAGGGAAAACTGTCCTAGGTACAACAAACCAGATGTACCTTGGACCGTGTACGTTGTACCTATTTAAATTTAAATAAATGCTTATATTCGCTTCAATTTGTTAATTTTCTGTTAAATTATTATTTGAAATACCAATTATTACAGTTATTAGCAACAATATCTAAGTAAAAGTATTTTTTAAAAAAGATCCTCATCCATATTTTTTGTACTAATTATTTTTCACAATTTTTTGGCAACAAATCACTTAAGTTTAAGCCGGCTCTCCAGTCCATGTTTAGCCTTACACAATCAACAAAAATATGACAATATTCAACATTTTTTCTAGAAAATTTTGTTGAATGTTGATATGTATGCCAGCCAAACAAAATTAGAAGTATTAATTTTTTTATTAAACAATAAACACTTAAAATTAACTCGTAAATTGCATTCATATTTAAAATTATTCATGGAAAACATTGGTTTCAGGCTTTACTTGCTATAATATTATCAATACATGAGTACCATGACTGTGGCTGTACTAAATGTATGGAAGCTGGAAACATTGAATTTTAGGATGGATCCAGTTAATTTTGTAACCTATTATTGGTATCGTTGGATAGAGCTCGTGAACCACTTTCAGGATCAGTAACCAGTTTTTGAATATCTTGTATAGTTTTTAATATTATGCGGTTTTACTAAATGTATGGAAGCTGGAAACATTGAGTTTTTGGATAGATCCAGTTTATTATGTAACCTATCATTGGTACCGTTTGAAAGAGCTTGTGAAGCACTTTTAGAATCAGTAATCAGTTTTTCGATATCTTGTATAGTTTAGAAATAATCGAGTGAGATCACTTAACGTTTCCACCCTGTAGAAGGAAACGAAGTAGCAGATGAACTCGCCAGAGATGGAGCCGATAACCCTCAAATCGGCGTAGAACCGTTCTGTGGCATCACCAAACAACGAGCCACCACGCTACTACCGCCCTCTGCAAACAAGAGGCTATTGAGTGGTGGAAGTCTACATCGGGACAAAAACACTCAAAAGCACTCATTCAGGGATATAGCAACAAAGTAACTAAGGAACTGCTAAAGTTCAAAAGATACAAAGCCTGTGCAGTGACTAGAATACTAACCGGCCACTGCAAACTAAACAAACACAAATCAAACCTAAACATGACCGAGGAAACTCTGTGCAGATTCTGCCATACAGAAGAAAAAACGGCCATGCATGTTCTTTGCTCATGCGGCCCGCTTAAGAGCAAAAGAAGTATCCATCTCGGGAGATCTCGGGTGACACAGTCATCATGCACCCGGATGAGATAGCAGATATCACGCTCCAAAGAATCTGAAAATTTATAGACTCAACGGGACTAAGCAGTGAACTCTAAAGACAAGGGCTGCCACAATAGATCAAACCTGGTCGAGCTGGCGCAAATGAAGGCCCAAAAACCAATAATATGTAATATGTAGTTAAGTCATAAGTTAAGTGTAGATTAAAATGTGTCTCCAATATCCATTGCGAGGTGAAACTTTAAGTTAGGTTTTTACCGTTTACTGCGGCTCATATTAAAATCATTTATCAGTGAATACACGACGCCTAATCGCGATAATGGCAGTAAAAAGCAGTTAGTTCCTGCCTAGACAGACTCTTAGTTTGAAATGTATAATAAATTGATTACTTATTTAATAATATGGTCTATGTAAATTGAAAAGTTCAATTGAAATAGCTACCGGTTATTTCAATGAGCTTCACTAGTCTTCCTGGTGCAGAAAAAAAAAGAAAAAAATGACAGATGATGATACACGTCAAAAAAGTTTGGCGAGTGTTTTTGTCATGTGATTACGGATTTCAAATGCATTTTATATACATTTTGTTTGTTTAAATTTAGTTACAATATGGCTTTAATTTTTCGTTAATTATTATTCTTATTATTTCAATTCAAAAAACCCTTTTGCTTAGTTATGTAAGAATTTTATTGTTACCATTATTTAGGTTATGTTGTTAACGTCACACAAACACAAACTTGTTTGTTTCAACTTTAAAGAAGTTGTGATAAAAAAAATGGTATTGCTCTCAGGTGGGTATGATGAATCCGGCTCAAGACGGACTAGCACCGCCGGGCGGTGCACCTTCTTACCAGCAACCTCTTTATTTACAAGAACCCCATACACCTGTTACGTCGCACAGGTAACTATTGATACTAGTTTTTACCAACATAATGTTGTAATAACTTGGCATTCACATAATATTTTCACGCTTTCCATCTCAAACTACAGTCTAACATCCATTACTTACTTTTTCTTGTGGTTTGAACCCACAACTATACATCTTTACCTTTATGTAGATACAATTTGAAACCAGAGTTTTCATATTCATTTGTTTTCTAGTGGGGCAGGTGCCCCTGCTGGTAACTACATGATCCAGCAGCAACCTGGTGGTCAGCAGCGGCTGCTGATGATGCAACCCAGCCAAGTGATGAGTGGCCCACCCACACCCAGTACTCCCACTCAACCCTCAGCACCTGTATATGGATCCCCACAACGAGCGTCACCACCAGGCACAACTAGTGATGATTCAGATGACAGTGTGCCTTCACATCATTCCCAGGTAATTTCACTTTATAAAACCTCATATTATAATATATTATGCCACATAAAATAAATGTACCATCAATGATAATACCAGCATATTTTAACCTTAAGTCTTAAATACAACAAAACAGACATGTGTGAGTATTCTTTGCATTTTAAATTTAGTCCATTTTATGGAAAATTACCATTATGTGACACTTCTTTCTTAACCCCACTAATGTTTATACTTGTACAACATCCCCTGATCAATCAAAGTAGTAAAATAATATTTTAATTAGGTAGCCGGTAGGTAATAAAATATTTAACATTTTCCTCAGATTGTGTCAAATTTTACAACATTCCATAATAACAATTTCGATGTACTTTATATATGTTAAAAATAAAATACCTATAGTTCCCAGTCCTAAATTAAAACACAAAGTCAAGAATAGTGCATTAAGCTATTTATTACCATGTAGAAATATAGTTCATTGGCAGGTACCTACTTCTTGGTTTATCATTTAGTGTTTAAATAAGTAGAACATAATAATAAAAGATTCTAATGAATTGGTTGTTTGTTGGTAGTTGCCTGGTGATGCGGAAAGCCTTCTGCCTATCCATTATTGCTCAGCGAGCCGGCAGCAACAAACTACGCTTCATCAGGTATAGGCAAATTTTACCGCTTACATATTTCCACACACAGTATTGCCTATTCTTATAGATTTCTGTTGCCAATGAACTATATTATATGTAGTATGTACATACTTATTTATATTTATTATAAATACACCACTTTGCTTATGCATGTAATTATCAAAGCTAATTATTATTTTATTAGTTTGTTTATAAACACATAAATTACATTTCTTTATTTACACAGATGGGTGTAAGCAGTATGGGAGTAAAAAGGTCTTCTCCAGAACCCATGGATAATGGAATGAATCGGGGACAAATGCAGAAAAAACCTAAAGTTCAAAAGAAAAAGAAGAAGAGAGATCCAAATGAACCACAAAAGTAAGAGATATACTTACATTTTAAAATAATGTCTCATTTAATTTCAATTATCTTAATTAATTAATATTTTTTCTGTTTTTTATAGACCAGTGTCAGCATATGCACTATTTTTCCGGGACACACAAGCAGCAATAAAAGGACAAAATCCCAATGCAAGTTTTGGAGAAGTTTCAAAAATAGTTGCATCCATGTGGGATGGTCTTGATTCAGAACATAAAAGTGTAAGCATAATGAAATTGTTATTTTGTTGAATTGTTTAAAATAAATAAATAACATTATCTAAGTAAAGCAAAATTATTGTCTCTAAGCCAATAATTTTCTTTCACGTTTTGTTCATGTTTTTATTATTGTTATTTTGTGTATAGGTTTACAAACAGAAGACCGAAGTGGCCAAAAAGGAGTATCTCAAAGCACTTGCTGCATACAGAGCTAGCTTAGTTTCAAAGGTATTTATGAAGAACAATAAATATTAAAGTTTTTTTATTGCTTACACTGAGAATACTTGAGACAAAAATAATCAAAGATTCGTTTAATGTTTGACAACAACAGGAATGGCAGGAAATCGTTTCGAAAGCAGATTCCAAGATAAAAATGAAATACCTAGTAAACACAAATCCGATTATTTATTGTACTTTGTAACCCTGTATAAAAATAATTGTCATACACGCGGTTTTGGGCGTAGTCTGGTAACGAAGCAACGTTATTCACTCGTTACAAATAACGTTAACGTATAAACTCAATTCCTTTGCTACAAACAACAACTGTCAATGTCAGTGAACTCGTTCCATTCGTTCTTGGCAAACCGGAATTTCTCAAGGTCTGAGCGGAGCTTTTGTTAAATTTGTTCAAGATACCCTTGCTTTTGTTCTTGGATCCTGAGCTTTTAGACGTTATTTAGAGGTTTTTAGCTGATTACTTATTTAAATTAGCGGTCACAATTACAAAATTAGTAAAAGTTTACGTATGTAAACGTTTGTTTATTTGCCGACCAAAACAAAAGCTTCTACAACCTACGCAAACTTTCATATAAATCGAAGCTCACAAGGTTGAACTTTTGTTCTGTTTTGTTCAATGTGATCGTAATTCTTTCTAATTTCGTACCATATTTATATGTACAAATAAATCCACATTCCTGTTTGTTTATTATTGAAGCTTTCTAACCTCAAAGTTTACAATGTGATTCAAAGTTTAATATTATTGTGATTTTGAATTTCCAGGGAGGTGAACAGGAGAACCAGACCATGTATAATCACAACAATAGTGCCAATTCAAATTATGGTAATTATTACCAGGGGCAAACATATGGAAATGGTCACTCACCTCAAGGATTTGTGCCAAACAGTGTGCCTCAAGGCTATTCGCCACAAAACTACCCTGGAGGCCAACCACAGCCCGCTTACCCTGGCCAAACTCCACAAGGATACCCTGCTAATCCCCAACAATCACCTCAAAACTATCAAGGCAATATGGCCCATGCACCACAAAATTACCAGGTATGTACTTTTTGTTGTTAAATTACTATTTAACAGTTATTTTCTTATTGATGAGGTATGACTTAAGAAATCTGTAATTCATACAGGATATTGTTTTATCTAAATTGAGCTCACTTAAAGTTTTGTCTTTATAAAAAAACCAAAATAATTATGAAAACTTTGTTCTTAGGGTGTTCCGGGTCAATCACCCCAGAGTTATCAAGTAAACCCTGGCAACTCACCCCAAGGCTGTCAGCCCAGCCTTGCACAGTCTCCACGAAGTTATCAGCCAGCGCAGTCGCCATCTAACTACGCTGCAAATTCAGGCCTATCACCACCGGGTTACAGACAAGTACAATCGCAGTCCCCACCCATGGGGTCTGTTCACCCTGCCATGCAGTACCATCATTCCCAACAGGTGAGTCAATGTTGTATTGAAATTTTAAATGAACAGCTATTTATAAAAAACTAGCTGACCCGGCGAACTTCGTACCGCCTTAGTGTAGAGATTTTCTTTATATTTATTTCTGTAAAAACCTTGTACAGAGTATTAGAAAACTACGATACTACTAGATGAGTAATGTCAAGTAATTTGTCAACCTACTTTAAAATAAAATCACTTATACCCTTATTAATAAAATGTTAATAACACTGGATTAAAATTACATTTCCATACTAAATGACAATTTAAGCCAGAGTCCAACTAGGGTGTAACTTTTATTAATAAGGGGGTTATAGCTAGTCGAAGTTCTTGCATGCTATTCTTTTAAACATAATTTAATTATTATTACAACTATTATCCAATAACATATTAAACAATGACAATTTATTTGTAACAGCAAATGCAGCAAGCTCATCAACAAATGCAACAGGCACATCAGGTACAACAGTATCAGCAACAACAACAACAGCAGCAGCAACAACAACAACAACAGCAGCAGCAACAACAACAGCAGCAGCAGCAACAACAGCAGCAGCAGCAACAACAGCAGCAGCAACAACAACAGCAACAACAACAGCAACAGCAGCAGCAACCACAGCAACAACAAATCCCTGGACAAGTGCCAAAACCTGAACATTCTCCAAATAGTAACGGCAGCTCTGGCATGCCACAGCAGTCGCCTGATGTAAGTTCAGTGTCCCGTCATTTCAATACATTTTCCCAGAACATTCATATAATTGAACAGTGGGGCTAATTTACAATATTAGAACATTTTAAAAATAATCAGAAAACCTTATACTTTTATTTTAGTACCTTGAGAGTGGCTCTACCTTTTTTGAAATTATATTCTAAATTTTTCTCAAAGCACACTTCATCACACAAGTCATACATTTTCAAATTTAAAATAAAAGGGCAACATTGCAATAAAATTATATTGATGCAATTCAATTCAATCAATTATCTTCTTCACAGCAAAATGAAAACAGAAGTACACCCTCATGTATCCGACAAGGCTGTACAAACCCAGCCATAGCCAATAGTGAATGGGAAGATGAATATTGTTCCAATGAATGTGTAGTCAGCCACTGCAGGTAAATGATCATTTGACATCTTAAAAAATGTATTAAAACGAAGCACTCTGCTCTTTCAAAATATGTGATGATGGTAGCTTCAATCACTTGCTTCCCTGCAACAGCAACCAACCCAGTTGTTTCGTGGTTTTTTCAATAACTTATTATTTTAGTTAATATAGTCGGGATATTGCTATATTATTTTCGTTGTCTAATTACACTTTATTCTTTTATAATTAAAAAGCTGAAATAAATTGTGCAATTACATTTATTGATCCACAACAAAAACCTTAACACCGCCTATTGCCAGCGATTTATTGAGAAACCATTAGTAATGGATAATATAATTTTAAAAAATCCAATGTTGGTCCAGTACTGCATCAATTTATGACCACTGGTCAGCGCTGTGTTATAATTGTGTTGTAACATAATTATTAACATAGCCTTTATATGAAATAATTGTTTTCAGAGATGTCTTCAGCTCTTGGGTAGCTTCCAACAGCAGCAACCAGATGCAAAATTTTTCCGCAGTGAAGTAAACTATCTGTACATATCAAGAGTAGTTACTAATAGATAAATTACTCTTTCAAGTTTATATTGAGTCTAGAAGTACATTGTGAAATATTAGTGTAATTATTTTCATTTGTTACAGTACCTAATATCTTTTGTTTGAGTGTTTTATGCCCTCAATGGTTTATATGCCTCTAAAGTTATAGATCTGCTTAAGACGCGTAGTTATGAAACGACGCACTAGACTAGATTGAAATTCTAGCATAGTTTCAAACCTAAACTTTAGTTTGAAACAAGTCGAACATTATTATCGAACAGGCCTTATGTGGATTATATGGGAGACAATGATTTCTTTTTTCAAAAACTTTCTTTGTTGATTTCTATACATATTTTGTATTGTATTTTTTGCATGACGTGGAAGTAGTCTTTATTTATTTGCTAAAGCATATTAAGCAAAAATGTAAAGGAATATGTACTAGGCCTACATAATGATCAGGCTAAAGCAAAGCTAGTGTTAAAACTAAAATGTAATTCTCCTTAGTAATTATGTTTTTATTAGCTGAAAATACTAGATAGTAATTTCAACTCATTTGTAAATTATTTTAACAAAATATAACTAAGGCTTGTGTGAATAAAATATTTATACACGAATAGTGTTTCAAAAGCATTTACAAGCTTTTATTTCGTTTAAATATTATGAACAAACAAACTCTACATTAACCTCGTTAATAAAGCAATCCTTGCCTTAAATATGGTTATGTAATATTTAATTATAGGTATCTAGATTTAAGCTCGAATAAAGCACGATGATGCATATTAGCAATGAAAAACTTGTATTAATAATACCTTTCAGTATTTATTATTGATTCAAAATCATTGTTTATAAACTAGCATTTATTACGTTGTAATATAATCCATTAAATATTATATAATGGTTTAAGATTAGTTGCTGTAAGATTATCTGTTTTAATACTTGATCATGCGTGTAAGCAGGCATTAGAAAAACCATAATCGAGTCCTCAAATCGTGCTGTCGTCAAAGTGAAAAGGAAAAAATACGACCATAACATAATAATACTTTATGTTAAAAACTAGTTTTTTTGACTTGGACGGTTAGATAAATTGTTGATTTCGATATACTAAATCTTAAAAATATCAAAGTTCCAACTATGTAGCATAGGTACATAAGTATAAGATAGCAACATTTACTTTCCTACAGACCTGTGTTTAGTATTATAGGATTTAGCTGGACCAAAATTTTCTTTATTCAAAGCAAAACTATTTTAGAATATTTGATAAACTCTAAGTTTTATGTATAGGTATTAAATATATTATTACAATTGTAAATAAACACATGCAATAATAGCAGTAGGTACCTAGCAGTAGAAAATACGTGAGACATAATTTCAAACTTATGTTATTTATTTCGTAAACCTGTTAGATACAATATAGCATCAAAATAATCTTTTAAAATGTAAAATAAAAATGTATAAAATGTAATTAGAAAAAAATGGTTTCAATAAATTTCATAAACATACAAATTGGTTTTTCATGGCTAATACAAATTATCTTTACAACATACTAGCTTTTGCCCGTGGCTTCACCCGCCTGAAATTTAGTTTATCACAGATCGTCATAAATTATAGCCTATATGTTACAATAATACTGTGAAGTTTCATCAAAATCCGTTTAGTAGTTTTTGCGTGAAAGAGTAACAAACATCCAGACATCCAAATTTTCGCATTTATAATATTAATAGGATAGTGTGTCCCAGAAAGAATGGGTGAATTAAACTGCTATGGGAGGTAGCTTGATGGGGGTAGGAGAGCCCCTATAAAAAAGTAATATCGGTTTTTATAAGGACAACATCTATCTCAAGGGTTTCCATTTGAAATAAAATGCGTTATACTTAAATTAGAATAATGAGGCAACCATTAAAATACGTGAGGTGATTTAGTCTGGATCCTGGGTAAAATTCCCGCAAAGAAGGAAGGGTTAAGGTAAGGTAAACATTAAAATCGACAGATCTGACGCAGCTGCTGAAAGCTCCAAGTGAGTGGTTTCTTTCGTCGTGCAATGCATGAAATAAATAATCTAGTTTTCCTTTCTTCCAACGAAAAATACGTTAGGATCTCAGTCGGGCGGGGCTACAAACACTGTAACGATATTTTAACGTTATTTTTGTTCCTCTCTCTAGTCTTTAGTATTAATCGAGGCTGGCAACAATTCAACTCGAGCTTGTGCTCGACCAAAGACTATAGAACATAGTAGATGAGCTCGACTCGTGTCATGTTATGTCAATCATCAATCGCAAGGCAAGGTGTCAAACTTTAGTATGTAGGTGATAAAATTATTGGATTTTAAGTCCTAAACGATTAATATTTGTAAATTACAAAAAATACCTTCATTCAGAAATTATAGGAATTTGCTATCTGCTTCTCCGAAAGTAATAAAATAACTGCAGTTTTATTTCCTTACAGCTCGTGACAGTGATGTACAGTGATTAGAATCTAACTAGAATTACAGAAAAGCTATCAGTATGATGGACGGCAATGATTTAGCATCTGAATCTGTTCGAAGAAACATCATTTCTCAAGCTTGGTCACGCATTTCCCAGGTAAACACTGAAGTCGGTTTCTAACCAAAGGACACGTCCTACTTGTCACTCAAGAACATGAGCTAGCACTTAATTAAGGCTAAATTACGCTCTTTATTACAGCAGTGTATTTGAATCCCTGTGGGAAATAATGTTTGTGTGATGAGCAAAAGTAACCCTATCACAGTAATGGATGAATAATTATTAAAACTTATTAATAAAAATGTTTTCTGTGTTTCTTGAGCCACACCTAATCACCAGCTTCTATGGTGTCCTCAATGTGTTAGCTTGTAAGGCAAGCTATACTGGGGTTGGATATAAAGAAATTATTGTGTAGGAGAAATTTCAGAAAACTTTGTCAACTTTCAAGGATGTAAATTTCTGGTAACACCCTCTTCTGTTGTCTCTTTTTTAGATTTTTCTATTTTTTAGATTAGTCTAAATTTAATACTGATAACAGTTAAATTACTTCATTTCACAAATACATTTTTGCACTTAACAAAGTGTACCAAACATCATTATTAAGTGGGGTAATTTTTTTTCCAAATTGCTGCACTAACACTATTATTTATGCCTCTATTTCAGATTTACCAAGGAACACTAGATGGATGGACACCATATACTAAGGGAAGATGGATTGGCAGTATAGTTCTTGTATTAATATTCCTACTTAGAATATTTACCAAGCAAGTGAGTATAGTCATCAATTGAAATACAAAGAGTTGACTCACTTTCATTTAAAAATTTAATCTACAATGTCTCTCAATAAACTGCTCAATTTATTTAATCATTTGACTATTCAGACACTGTTGGCAGCATGCCGCCTCTGTTATCTGCATTATTTAGTTCCTATTTAATTTGTGAACTCAACATTGATAACAGTAGTTTGTTCGCACAGATTAAACTTCCTTAAATAGGTACAGTCCATAAAATTATGTTATATTAAAATATGTTGACTCATTTTCATAAAGTAAAATCTAAAAGCTAGGGTTATTACACTGTGCTAGGGTAAAATAATTTTTTAAACTTGTACATAACTCACTTTATAACCACTCACTTCATTATCAAAAGTGCATCATTGAAGAGGAGGAAACTCCATGAATGCCATTTAATAATAAATATTATTGTTATCATTCACCATACAATTTATCCAGCTATTTTATCACAATATAAAAATAGATATTTTATGCAAATGATTTTTATAAAGTGGTAAAGGTTCAGTACCTAGTGGGGTTAGCCTTTTGTATGCCTAAGCACTGATCAGGATGAGAAACGATGATTTCTACATTCTTATCTGAAATCCTGGTGTACGACCAAAAAGGCTTTTAGTAATCCCATGCTAGGAAACACAAATGAAAATCTGAAATAAATTCATTGATATTTTTAGTATGTAACTACATACTTTTTTAAACTTAGATTGTACATAAACTGGTAATTAATAAACAAATATTAATAATGTTATTTTTTGTCTTCTTCAGGGTTGGTATATTATAACATATGCACTTGGGATATACCATTTAAATTTGTTCATTGCATTCCTAACACCAAAAATTGATCCAGCAATGGATTTTGATGGTAAGTGAAGATTTATGTCTTTTATTAGTATGTTAACTTATGTTTAATTAAAGCTGTCAAAATATTATTATATTGTGCTAATAATATGTATATCGAAACTATTGATACATATGTATTGCTTTACCATTCTTAAAATATATCCAGTGGTAAAAAAACCACTATTTTCTCCCAACCTCAAGTGTTCATATTTTTTGATAAAGCATCCCACAAAAATCTTTGCGTGGGCGTTATTGATTTCGCTGACTCTTTACATGACGTTGACGGTCAGGAAGGAAGTCCAAGGGCCTCCGCTAAAACTCGCGCGGTTCTGTTTCGAAACTTAATATGAGCAGCGCACGCGGGTGCATTTCCATACATTCATTCGCGCGGGTGCCCACCTAACCGCGACGTGTATCCGCGGAGGCCCGTGGAAACTAGTGGTTTACGCATACGTAACCGTTGTGCCGCGTGGACAACGCCCTCTATCAATGCTTCCAGAGCATCGGTTGCATCGGCTGGGCAGCGTTCGGGAAGCTACGCAATATACTCACGTCCGAAATACCGCAGTGTCTCAAGACAAAAGTCTTCGAGCAGTGTGTGCTGCCAGTGTTGATTTATGGATCTGAAACGTGGTCGCTTACTATGGGCCTCATAAGAAGGCTCAAGGTCGCCCAAAGGGCGATGGAGCGGGCCATGCTTGGAGTTTCCCTGCGTGATCGAATCAGAAATGAGGAGATCCGCAGGAGAACCAAAGTGACCGACATAGCTCGCAGAATTGCTAAAACCAAGTGGCAGTGGGCGGGGCACATAGCTCGTAGAGACGATGGCCGTTGGGGCAGAAAAGTTCTCGAGTGGCGACCACGGGCTGGAAGACGTAGCGTGGGCAGGCCTCCTACTAGGTGGACCGACGATCTCGTAAAGGTCGCGGGAAGAGCCTGGATGCGGGCAGCGCAGGACCGTGCATTGTGGAAAACCTTGGAGGAGGCCTTTGTCCAGCAGTGGACGTCATTTGGCTGAAACGAACGAACGAACGAACCGTTGTGCCGCGTGGACAACGCCCTCTATCAATGCTTCCAGAGCATACTCCCTTACACGCAAGACCTCGGTCAGTCTTCACATTACGTCGTCAATACTGTCTTCCTCGAGAGGCTGTTACTGCTGCCTCGTAATTCGCCCTCCGGAATATCTCGAATAGTCGTCTTCAGCTAGTAGGACGTCTACAGTAACAGTACCTACTCTGCGAATAGACCTCAGAGACAAATTACACTTTAAATAAGTACCTACTCCTCCTATTGCTAACACTACCCTCGTGTGCGCTTTTAAGTGACCACAGGTGGAAACCTGGTGAGATCGAAAAAAGAGTTAAAGCTAGTGTTGGAAGATTAATCACTTGTGATCGCCTTAGATTGCCACTTGCGATCGTCGGTAGACATAAATATTGGCAAAAAATTTCCTGCCAAATAAGGAGTCTGATGCAGAATATGAACTTCGCAAAATGCAGTTTTCTATACAAATATTAAACAAACTCTGCAGCTAATACGTATAAAGGCTGTTTAGAAAATGGAAAAGTACGCACTTTGCGACGTGCAAATTCTGCGTAAAACCCCAAAAAAGACAAATTGTTTGTCAGAAGTTTTAACTGCAGAAGCGTGTAGATGGTTTTAAAAAATTAATATAAAATTCCCTACAAAATTATATCTCCGAGACCTAAATAAAAACCATATTCACCTAGATTCTAGGTGGGGCATACAGGGGCAGTGTTCTAGGTCCTAGAACACTGCCCCTGTACTTGTACCTGTACTTTTTTTCTTTTTATCTTGTGTTTCACAGATACAAGATTTATTTATACTGGCTTTTGCTTTCAGGTGATGATGATAATGGTCCAGCTCTACCAACAAGGGCTACAGAAGAATTCCGACCGTTCATACGGCGACTGCCAGAATTTAAGTTCTGGCTCTCTGTAACAAAGAGCACTATCATTGCATTCTTCTGTACTTTTATCGACGCTTTTAATATTCCAGTATTTTGGCCCATTTTGGTCATGTATTTTATAACACTATTTTGTATTACAATGAAGAGACAAATCAAGGTAAGCCTTATATTATAGGCACCCACAAATTTAAATTTAAGGCCCGGTTTCCACCAAGACGGAGCGGTGCGGAGACGAGAGGAGATGTGCGGCGAAGCTGGCAGGCTATTTTCACCAAAGGGGAGCGGAGTGGTGTGGAGACGAGAGAAGATGTGTGAGCTGTGCGTAGCTGTCAGTCTATTGCTATCTATGAAACACCGCAACGCTCCGCTCTTCTCCACACCGCGCCGCGCCGCTGTCAAATTCCATAGAAAAACAAATTTACCAGACACTTCTCTGCTTTTCTCCGCTCGATCCATTTCCACCAAGGCGAAGCAGAGTGGAGATGTGCAAATAATGGAATCTGATTGGTTATTCAAAAAACTTTTTTGCTCCGCTCCGCCTTGCTGGTGGCTCCGCCTAAGCGCTCCTGCACACGACGCCGCCACCGCGCCGCCGCCGCACCGACGCGGCGCCGCTACACTGTTCATACACGCCGAGAAAAGCCCGCCGCCGCGGGCTTCACGCGGCGCGTATAAACAGTGCAAAGGCGCGGGGGACGGCGCGGCAGCGGCTTCGTGTGCAGGAGCGCTAAATATTTTATAAAAAACTTAATCTTCTCTAAAAACACTAAAGTACAAAAAAGGATTTTGCACTTAGCAGAATTGTTATTACATATAAATGATGAAGTATTTGTTAAAAGTTTAGTTCAACTTACTTTATGCTGTGCAAAAAAATAAATAAATGTGTTACCTATTTTTATTTTACCAGGAAAAATATTATGCTTGGAATTCTCTGTAGATATTTCCTCAATAAAGAAGAACGGTCATCTGTGACCCAGGCCCGACAGAAACGAGACATACCTCAGTTTTTTTGTCATGTCTTAATTAGTTAAATTATATATTTTTTATATTCGAAATCTATGTATAGCACTATAATATTACCCTTTGTTTTTGTTCAGGCGTTATACAAAAACTAATACAAAAAGCCTATTTATCACCAAAATTGGTAAATGTATGTACCTAAATGTCTATTACAGCTGCTATGCAATGTATCTAGGTGACCTGGAGATACAGCCGGATTATACAGGGTGGAAACGAGAAGTTACAAAATCCAAAAATTCAATGTTACCAGCTTCCATAATCTGTAACCTAACATTGGTACCATTTGAAAGAGCTCGTGAAGCACTTTCAGAATCAGTAACTACTTTTTCGATATCTTGTATAGTTTAGAAATAATCGAGTGAGATCACTTATCGTTCCATATGTAGGTATAACCACCCTGTATAATCCGGCTGTATCTCCAGGTCACCTAGATACATTCCATAGCAGCTGTAATAGACATTTAGGTACATACATTTACCAATTTTGGTGATAAATAGGCATTTTGTATTAGTTTTTGTATAACGCCTGAACAAAAACAAAAGGTAATATTTAGGTGTTATACATAGATTTCGAATATAAAAAATATATAATTTAACTAATTAAGACATGACAAAAAAACTGAGGTATGTCTGGTTTCTGTCGGATCTGGGTTTTTTTTGTATGGGGCGTGACCGTTCTTCTTTAGTTTAGCTTAAAAATAAAATGTCAAGAACCCCGTGTTAGTATGTAAAAGAGCCCTATGACGTAACCTTTGAAGAGAGGTTGTATATTTACCTCAGTATAATGAGCTAAGAGATGAAATAGAATCCCGCTCAATATCCATTCCACCTGTACTGCCGTGCATTCCCTCAATTATCCTCTTCTTTACATTTTATTAAGTCTTGTTTTTTTTTTCAGCATATGATCAAATACCGGTACCTGCCGTTCACTCACAGCAAACCAAAGTACAAAACTGTTGACCCTGCAGTAACTGTTAACTGACCACTTTTAAACGATGCTAGCATCGAATGCCGGGAGGAGTCATAGTTAAATTAACTTAAAACTGTTGTACGATTCTAGAAATACAGTTTTTATTATAATGTTTTATCTTCTTTAATTTCATTATTTGTGTCGTAAATCACTAAAATATTTATTATTTTTGAAATTAAAGACGGAACTGTAAAAAATATTTTAAATGTAAACTATGATGTAAATAATAAAAGCCAAAAAGTAATCATTCGTATTCGTCTGTTTTGTGTTTCTCCTCGACATAAGGTAAATACGCGTGATCATAAAGTGGTTTTCTATGATAAATGTGATAAGAAGAAGCTGGCCTTTTTTAATAGCTCTATATAACGTCGGTTTAAGAAGTAAGACCTATATTAGTAAATACTTATATTTATATATTAGCTCTAATGGTAATTATGTAACTACATACATACATAGCTGTATTAGCTGTAAAAAGTTGTTAAATTCTATACATATTACATATATTTTAAAACGATACGAACGAACGAAACGATAGCATAGGATCACACAGCGTCGTAAGTAGGTAACATAGTGGACGTCTTATAATACCACTAATACCTATCTATATCTACACAATATACTCTGTTAAGTTAATTATGAGCCCATATTTAGGTAACACGTTATAAATATAATCAATGTACCTACTATGTCTTCGCGCCTTGTACTAGCAAGATGTAGGTCTTGTTTCTTTAAGACCCTTTGTATGACTAACCCCCTTATTAATAAAAAAGTTACACCTAGGATGAACTAGATTAAAATGATATTTCCATATTAAATGACAATTTAAGCCAGATTTCAACTAGGGTGTAACTTTTATTAATAACTCGACATGTCGCTCTTCATATCAGGTAGGTACTAAGGGAAAGGAAAAACATGACTGACGTTCTTCTTTGTAGTTACCTTGGTAAGTTTATACATTATTGCATTTTCGAAGAGCCTCCGAAACACATTTTGAAAATAGTACCCGTAACCACAGAATAGGTACATACTTAATAGCCGTAACTGTATTCGCATCTCGTTAAAAACACTATTTTCAGCTGCTTACCTGAAAAGCAATTTAAATCATTTGGTTGCTCTTCATGTAAAAAATACAGATAGAGCCGTCTAGCTAGCCCGTCGGTGGAACCACGCGGTACGCACTTGACTTCGAGTTTTGGGACACCCTGTATTTGAGCAATAAGTTTGTAATAAATAACAAAGAAACAAGTCTCATGAACAACTGCTTGGGATAGGAGCTGGACACGAACATTGACGAGTCGCAGACTTGAAATCGGGAAGTCGCTGCTTGGGTGCTCTACTTTCGTAGAATAGAGATTTCCTCAAGTTTAATAATACTAAGTAGATATACCTACATTACATAATATGATTTCATAGCCTTTACCACAGTTAACATGTAGGGGCTCCCTGAATACCTATGCATGCCGGCTTCACACTATTGTCCAACAGTGGAACTGTTCGTCCCACCTTCCACGTGTAGAGATAAGTTATACTTTAGTTCGTGTATTTTTGACGATATTGGGTTGGGTCGTATGTGCGCACGATCGATCTGATGGCGGTAAATCGTACCTTCTACCTACCCAGTACCCAGATCAAAAGAGTTGGTCAACTCACATGAACCGCCATTCATAATGTCCTCCATAGTATAGTTGCGTGCAGAGAGAGGATAATTATGTGGACAAAAATTCTACAAATCCCCTGACCAGGGGATCATATACTTATAAAATTAAAGTAAGTAGAGCGCGAAGTCCTTCTTTCGGTTGATAAGAAATAGTTTCATCGATATTTCTTATCCATTAAGGTTTAAAAGTTCCTACCAATTAGAAGTAGGTACCTTGTAATATTCTGTTTTATTTTTATCCTATGTAAATTACCTACATTAATTTCTTAACCGTATTTGCTTACGTATGACCTGGAGCCCTACCGTGTTGTGTAGCGTACCTAGAAACTGCGTCAAAAATACTCACAATTAGATATTGACGAACGCGACGCACAATGTGCTGAATGCTGCTGTATTTTTATCACTAGCGACTATTTTTAACTTTTATTTCGGAGGTAGGTAGGTACCTATCAAACAATTCGTTTTCTAACTGGCGAAAAACTACGTTCAGGAATAAACTGCTGAGCTCAGTTTATAGAACAAATAATATTTTCAGTAAGTAATTACGGGTTACACATACCATTTTTGTTTCGTCACATAAGTAAGTAATGACGACTAAAAATGTGCCAATTGTTAATGGTGGGTTAATAGCTGTATTTTAATTTTATTATTCACGGTATTTATGTACTATCGTCGTGACTCGTCCCTCAACAAGTTCCTACAAAAGTAACACACTCTAATCTCTAATTTAAAGGGCTTATTATAAGAGTGAAGAAAAGGAAACCTTCGTGTGAGAATCTATTAAAAAAGCGTTGTTTATGATAAGAAGCATGACCTACATTTAGTTTTAAACTGCTTTCATGCACGAAATAATTAAGTTGGAGCCATGAGTAGCTGCAATAGGTATTGCTTTTGCAGCAAAGCAACCCTAAGCAGAATAATATGTAGGTACCTAGGTACTTACTCGTCCCTAACGGTTTATGTCTACCTACTGAAAAACTCTGTTTTAAGTAGGTACCATTGGGTAATGTTTCTGGATATTGATTCAATTCATATTTTTTATCAGTTATTCAACTTTTGATGTTTAGTTAAAATCTAGGTCAGCTAACTAGCGAGTTAACGATTTTACGGCCCGATACACGTTACCTGCAATTTGAAAATGCACTTTTCTTGATTGGGTCGGTTCTTTTCATTACCCACCTAGGTACTTACAAAATGACATTCTCATGAAATTATCAATGAAGATATTATACATTCTCGTAGTAGGTATTAAAATAGGGAGGTTGATTGCTTAGGGCATCAAGTAGCCTTAATAATTAATTTGAAGACTTCCAGTGCCGATTTGATGATGAACGCACTTCTCATCACTCGCCACCTACTAAGCGTGCGCGTGTATATGAACCAAACCCACCCATAAACCAGGCTTACAAGTGCCTGGGCCAAAACGTAGGTGACTCGGCCTTTGGCCTTCAAATACTTACACCGTTTTATTTGAACAAGTGTGGTGGGATTATAGTAGAATCTGGTGACATTTTCTTCCAATTCGGAAAAAATACACAATACCTACGACTACCTACCTATATAGAAACAATATACCTATAGTGTGTTCCACATAGAAAATTGAACCCAGAGTTTCACTTTCTTACTAAACGAAACTAGGGTAGTCAACCGCCTCTGTGGTCTAGTGGTAAGACCACCTGCTTCAGACGCAGAGGTCCCGGGTTTGATTCCCAGTGGGGGCAGATTTTTCTGTTCGGTTTGGTTGGTGGTAGGGCTTGTTCTAAGTCCGCCTGGCTAGCTAGCTACCACCATCTTACCTAAGTCTGTCGCCATAACAACAATATTAACTGCATTATTGTGTTCCGGCAGTTGGAGGTAAGATAGCCAGTTCCTCCGTGGTTGAGGACTCCGGGTGAAGCTCGCTTCCACCTTCGGCCTGATCGTCACTTACCATCAGGTGAGATACAGGCCAAGAGCTTCCTCGTTGTAGATAAAAAAAACAATGCTTTAACCTGTTATCCTAGTGAATGACAAATGCGACAACACGACCAGAACACGACGCAATGCGACGCGACGCGGCGACGCACCCGATACGTTAAGTATCAAGTAGTCGTTGTAGGTATACAGGGTGTCCCATAAAGACTGTGCCTAACTTATGGAGAAGATAGACTTATGAATGGCCATCTAGCCAAAAAAGCTTTAGTAAAAGTTATCAGGAATACCTATATTTATTTCATATTTTTCAAATGTCCTCCGTTTTGACCTTATCTTTTGTTGCTGTGTACAAATGCAGATTATTTTGCTTATTCTTCTAGTCAAATACCTAATCTTACTTTTTCCATAATCAAAATATTTTGAGATTTCTTACGGACCTTCGGCATAGGAAGGTAGATTACCCATTTCTGGGAACGCGCTCTACGCAGTAACCTACTACCCTGTATTTAATCGATTGACCTTAGGCTGTGGATCTGTCAGTTGGGCTTAGGGGTGTGAGCCGTGTGAGTGTAGCCATCCTTTGGCAATATTCCCGTGGCAACATTACCTACTGCTGCCTTAAAAAATATATTTTTTATTATAAAGTTATTTTTTAATACAGCATAGCATTAAAGTAACTACTTGAATAGGACAGAGAACAAAATATTTTAAACCGTTATTTATCTAGTAGGCAGCACACTACATAAACTTAAATAGTGCGAAATAGCGAATAATGCATGAATATGTTATAAAGTGAAACTACTACTGACCTATATTGTTTAACCTTGCACTACATTAATTATTAACATCAAGTTGCTATAATATACCAACCAAGTAAAAAGTAGTGGCAATAATTCCGAATCTGGTAAAGTTTCTGGCAACGGCACCTACTTGCATTGAGTCTCGCTAGTAGTATGCTATGCACAATGGGCCACAGTTCCAGCTACCCATTTCCGTTTTTTCTCTCGCTCTCATCAATAATGATAATGTTTCTTTGCGATAGAACGAAACAACATGACCGGAAATGGGTAGCTAGAACTGTGGCCTATTCCTACCTAGTAACCCGGTCGAGCTGCGCACCTCGCTGGAATGTGACTCTCCCTCGCACTCACTGGCTCATCTCCCGCCCCGTTCGTACCAGAGCGCCGATGTGACGTCACGGCCGCCAGGTGCGCAGTTAAGTCGACCAAGTTGTATTAAAATGTTTTTAAAAGTTTTACAGTATAATGTATTCAATTTATTTTTTTTTCATTATACCTAATAAGAACCATCGACCTTTCACTCTTCCTCTTATCATAAAATCAAGAGTAGGTCGCGTAACGAAAGTTGAGGCGAACACAAACACTCACACTGATGTAATACTTGATTCAGAAAGACACAAATTGGTCCGAAACTCAGAATATGTGCGACATACAGACGAATACAAATCTTTGCTTGTGTGTTGATCGCCTCAACTCTTACTGCGCGACCTATACTTCTGACTCCCACTCAAAACGCTAAAAATATATTTTACTCAGCTGCAAAT